GGGGACGGGGGGAGGGGAGATCAAACAGGAACCAAGGACATTTTGCATTCAGAAATAGGTTCTGAATCACTGTATTGGTCATTGAATGAGCAAGCAAAGAAGTCATTAAGAAATAGAGATTTGGGATTTGTAACTATGGGAAAATGGTTATGCTTAACAGAAAAGGCATTGTGGCTTCCATTAGTGAGATGATGGCCATTATGTTTAAACTTCCAAATTTATGTATATTTACTCTTGGAAATATAATTAGTAATTAGTACCAGTTAGAACACTCTGTATAGTTTTCAGTCACTGTAGTTAACACCAGAGAGAGGAGTTCACTCATGTTCCACTTAGGGGTTGATCTTTCCATACGTGCCTAAATTCACCTCGAGGCTCACTTGCAAACTTTTCTTCTTGTGAAAGACACAGGAGTCTAGTATTGATGTTGATGATGGTCTGCCCTGCAGATCACTAACCTAGAACAAGAGACAGCCTTGTCCGCACGCCATGCTTCTACCATGCTTTGATAAGCAGGCATGTTTATGTTTGCTATCTAAAACAAATGGAAATATGCATTTATTAAATATTGTGTGCCAGGAAAAGCAACCAGTTTGACATTTTAACCTTTTTGAATGCATAGTGAAAGTAAAACAAGATGCTATATTTAATCAACTTTTGATAAAAATTACATGTGAAACTCTAGTTGCTTATCAGCTTCTGTTTGCTGTTGTAAATTTTTTTTAATGTTTTCTTAGCTTTTTTAAAATTTTCATTCTGTAACTGTTTTCAAATTTAATTAGAAGATTATGAGGTTTATCAAGGAAATTACTTGAAGAAAAAAAAAAAAAAAACAGAAACTCTCCTGAAAGCAGTGTCTGGTGCACTATAGCATAGCAGTCCTTGGACTCCATCCAACTCGACTGAATTAATTTTTTCACTGCACTGTGCTGTACGTAAGCTTCAAGTACAGGGAATAACATGGGAGCACTAGACAGTAATCACTGATCAATCAAATCAAAACTTGTATTTTTCTGGTAGCTAAGAACGAATTCTCCTGAGTCATGTGGGACCTTGTGAGAGCTCTGACAGATCTTGCCTGCATCCAGAAAAGCCCCATGGTTATGGAGCTCTTTATGCTCTTCATGGTAGCTGCATGGTTTTCTAAACAGTTGAAAAATAGCATGCAGAAAAAAAAAGATAATATTAAAGTTTACAGATATTTATGATTATGTATCTTTCAGTGTCTTGAGAACTGATATTAAAGTTTACAGATATTTATGATTCAGTTCTCAAAGACACTGAAAGATACATAAAACCATTTTCTAAAATTTTTCTAAGAGACAATATAAGTCTTACGTAGACTGGAGGTTCAGAGAAGCATCTATTCTGTGGAGGAACATGCAGTCCAGACCTCCGAAGTCTCTCATGTTTGTCTGTTACGAAAACCATGACATGCTGAAATCCACTGTTCCCAAGTACTGTTTTTTGATATTTTTATAATTGTCAATTTTGCTGTTCACAGAGAGCGAAGAAGTGTACCAGCGCCAGGTGCTGTCCATCTCCTGCATCGTCTTTGGCCTCGTCGTTGTGGCCATGCTTTGTGCAGCATTCTACTTCAAAGCGAAGTAAGAGCCTTTGTCTGCTGTGTTTGTTACCTAGTTTCTGTCCTTTTTATCACTTTCTGATTCTTTAGTTTCTCCTATTCTTTTGAAGCTGTCCTTATCTCTGAGTAGTCTGGAACAGTTGCCCATGGCTGGATTATCAAGTCAAACAAACACAGAAGTAAACAAAAGTAATAAATATTCTTGCTAATATTTTCTGATATCAGGAAAGAAGAGTTTATGTGTCCTTCTTCTTGACAATAGTATTTTTGTGCCTTTTAGTACCAATGTAATAGTCACATTTTTCCTTAGAGAATAAAAAGTTAATCATACCATCTCCTTTTGCATTTTTTATACCCCTTCATGTCCTTTTTATTTCTGGGTAAATGAACAGGTGAGTTAGAAACATACAAGTGTAAGGTGAATTAGAAATACACAAACAGGAAGCAGTTCACTGCAGATCATTGTAATTCGTAGGTAACTGTAAACTGCTAGTGTAGTTACCTTCCTAGTATCTCTAGCAAGCAAGTACATTATACTATCCAAGAATGGTAGAATCATCTGTACTAAAATATTTTCAAATTAAATATTCTCTTCCCACTCTGTTTTTCTTTCTCTTCCCGAATATCATTATCTTTTAATATTGATTGCTATGTGTGTAATCTGAGTTACAAAAACTTCATAGCAATTACTTGACATGCATGTTAATGCCACCGTATTTATAAACATGTTCTATATGATTGTCATTCCCCAATTCTTTGCCAACTGGAGCTAACATAAATGGCACCTGCATGAGGTTGGTCATGGGGGCTGAATATAAATAATGTGGAAGCTTCCCACATTTAAGTTTGGATGCTTATCTGAATCCCTCATGTACATATATACTTACTTACATGGGTGGGCAATCTGATGAGAAATGCTTCTTTTCTTTAATGCGATGTTCCTAGAAAAAAAATAAAAGGAGAAAAATGTTAGAAACATTATAAGACCTTTTTTAAAATTTCAGATATAGTTTGTGCAATTTTTTTTCTGTGAAGATTTAAGTTGGTTCATGTTTCATCTAGGTTTTCCTACTTGTTTGAATGTCTTGGATGTAGGATCTGATAGAAGCATAAACTGGGACAATGCTGTTCTAGGAAAGGTTCCCTCTGCAGAGTCTGAGGTTGTAGGAAAAAATGTGAGCAGAGGCAGCCACGTTCCCACTGACTAGGAAATGTCTTTACATATTTACATCTGCAGAGAAGAAGAGACAGAATAAGGTGTTCCTCTCTATCCAGTAAAGAAGTCAGGATTTTAATTGATGAAAAGGGATTCAGAAAAGGTCGAATGGGATTGTCGGCTGGAATCACAGTTTGCTTGGAATTTCTGTTTCTTTGTTTTTGAAACCTGCATTGTAAATATCACGATAGCTCAGAGTTAACTATTGCTGCCTAAGAGGGAAGAGCTGAAGTGAGCTTAGTCTGCTTTCTAGGAACTAAGGTTTGAAGAGTATTGAGAAGTACCTCTGGGTCACCTTACAGGTCACATGAAACATAAGAATTTTAAGATACCAGTTCCTACCTCCCTGGCTGTTGTTCCATTCACCATAACCATATGTTAACGTCTGTAACCAGAGCACAGCAAAAACAACATGGATTGCTCTTTATGGCTTAGACTTTTATAGATCCGAATGACTTGAATTTATTTGTTGGAGCAATAACAGTACTTTATTGCAGAACATCTGTAAAATGGAATATATAAGGGCCATTTGTTTTGAAAACAAAATTTTAAAATATATTTATCAGTGAATAACTTCAGATGACTATTTTCTAGATTTTTAACTGTCCATCCTATAATTCAAACTAATGTACATAAACCTAATATTAATATTAGGCTGTATAAGCCTGAAAAGGAAACAATTAGAAGATTGTTTTTCACAGTAAATTAAAAATTTAAAACTTAGCTTTAATGTTAAAGAAATACAGCAGTTTCTTTAAGCTTTAATACAAGCTTAATATTCCAGTTTACTTAAATTTTGTTAATACAGGTAGAAATTATTCTAAATTCATATTCAAATGGCTGATTTGTTATTTTGTTGATTAAATTCTGAAAATTGTTATCTACAGGAGAGATTCCCCAAGTCTGATGCTGTGATCATATTACTCTGCCTTTGCTTAGACTTTGTATGAAGCCTCCACTCAAAAATGTTCAAACAAACAAAAAAAGACTTGATCTTTTATAGAAACTTTGGAGACCTGCATGCAAGTGGGTGGCTTTCGAACAGGACATATGGATATGCATAGTTATATCACCAATGTATATAATTTAGCTGTTCAGAAAACTTTTATGCATAAAAAGTGTGTAATCATTTCCATAAATTTTCTATGGATATTTGAATATTTCTGTGAATATTTTTTAAAGCTAAATGGTTCATTTTGGCATCTTCTAAATGAATTATTCAACTTCATTATTTTCACGAGGGAATTGAATACATAAAAGAGTTAAGTCTAAATGAAATGTTTCAAAATTATTTATTTCACTTGACGGAATCTTTCAGTTTTTTATTTTTTCAGATTATTCTGATATTAACTTTTCATATTATTCTGGACAAAGGAAGAATTTTGAAAGTTTAAAAAACATTTTCGCGTATGAGAGGATTTCCTCACGCATCCATCATATACCTTTCTAATTATGGGCCTCTACTTCATACCAGTTTTGCTTCTAACATGCTTCCAATGTAATTTAATTTTTCCATTTGCCACGCTCTTTCAAATTAGGATCTAAATATATGTTTAGGCTTATGAATGTTATGTATTTTTAAATATAATGTATATTCAGGGTCTCCAATAATGGTAATAGTTTATGGCCTGTATTCAGGAAGAGTGCTGAAAAGAATATCTGCTTTTAAGCAGATGCCGAAGGTTCAGCAAACCTTCAGTGTTGCACTTAAGCAAATCTTTAAAAAGGATGATAATCTTTATAAAAAGATGTCATTGAACGTAGTGACTCATCTAGTGGCTTTCTCAGCTTTGACATGGCAGCCTGTAGTCAAAACACAGATGCAGTGTTAATTCTTAGGCTTTTTCAAGGTCCAAGCATGTAAGTAGAAAGTGGGTCTGTTAAAGATACTGCTATGGGTCAAGTCTAATGAGCTACAAGTAAAGCAAATGTTTTGGCAGATTTTATAACCAACAGGGGTTAATGTCTGCTGTTTTTGCCCAAGTTGCTGTTCCAAATCAGAGCAAAATACAATTTTTATCATTTGGGGCCACTTCCAAGCTATTGTTAAATACGTAATGGATGATCTCTTTATGTACAAAACTCTGCTCTCTAAAAACTAGCATGCTATTATATAAATTTGAGAATAGAAGCTATTTTAATCGGAGGAGCTCTTTTCTTTCCATTCTTAAGCTGTGCAATAAAATGACCAATGCACTGAAATATTAGACACTAGTGAATTAGCTCAGCTGGCTAATCCAATATGGTGAAGTTTTGAATATAGGAAAGCATGGCTATAAAAATCTCACAACTATAGTAGAAGATCAGACTAGCCCTTTCTTATATGAATTTTATTTCTCTGTCCAGGAAAGAAGCAAAGCAAATTCATGAACAGCTGAAAGAAACACAGAATAGGAAAACCTACAGCCTAAATGCTTCCAGCATGATGGCAAAGTCAGAGTGTATGGCACAAAGCCGAGTCCAGCTGCAACACGTAAGTAATCTTGCCAGCCACAGCACTTAATAGCCTGGCTGGGTTCCTGCTGCTGATGGCAGTGGATCACCATGTTGTTATTACCATCTGAGCAATGGGAACAAAATTACTCACCTCTTTCATAAAATGTTTTCTATCAGGCCCGTTGATGGAAAACAGCAAGTAGTTTTTGTTTTTTTCCCTAAAGTTATTCTAAGTGGTCCTCATATATTCATATAATGTAGTAAATATTGTTGAGCCCCCAGTTCTGCATTCAGCACTGGAAATGACTGCCACAGCTTTCTGTGGTCTGCGGTTTATAGATGAGATGGGGAGCATCAATCTTGATTGATTTTGAACCTTCCAATACAAAATATTAGTGGACCTGCATGAAAACATGTAGAGATTTTTTTGTTGTTGTTAATTCAGAGTAAATCAAAAATTTACGCTATTATACAAGTGAAGATAGTGCAGGCAGTCTTATTTTCCTGTGTCGAGTTAAACAAAGGGATTTTTGGTACTGAAAGTCAGTTTGTTCAAGCTGAACTTGAGATTTATTTAATCATGTTCTCAATATAGTTATATGTAATTTAACATAATCTCACAATCATGAGTTACATAAAGAAATTTTGAAGCAAGAAGTTTGCAGAATTGGGTGGATTTAGCTTTTGTTGCAAATTGCTTTCCAAGGCACTCTGCTCTCTTCCCACAGTCATATGCCCATTTTTTGAGCAAAGCCTTTGGAACAAATTAGAAGGATCCTGCTAGTAAAGCCAAAATTACAATATAATAGGAAATCATAAAATGTTATTAAAGCCTATCTAAATGCTTAGTTCTTTAAAAAAGTCTCCTAGTTTTGAATCTGAAGAAATCATCAAACGAGTGCTGTTGGCTGTGTTGTTCCAAGGGCTGATAAACACATCAACCAGCTTCACTCTAGCTCTGCCCTTCTGCCTGTGCGGTGCTCGCCTGCTGCAGCAGCCACAGCAGCAGCAGCTTGCAGATTCAGATATTAGAGACTGCAAAACATTATTGTCGTTTATTATTTTAAACCAAATTTGCTCTTCAGCTTTTAATGCTGCTCAGAGGGTGATTATCAATGCTGCTAATTAACCCACGGTTTGCTTATTCTTGTGGCCACTAGCAGGGAGGGAGCGGGTTCTCCTTGTCATTAAAGCGTTTTCCCGTTGGGAGTGAAGGCACTAAGGAGGAAACAGACTGACCTTTCACAGGATGCAGCGGAACTGCACGAGGCAGCAACCATTCTGCTTTCACAAACCTTGGCAGATTTGGGGAAGAAACAGGGGAAGGAGTGGTGAGACAGCAGAGCAGAACGTGGAAAGGGTATTTCCTAGGAGCGGGTGGCTGAGCAGCTCCCCGCTGGAGAGACCAGCCCCTCGCCGTGGGCGCCCACAGGGCAGGGCGAGGGGAGCGGAGCTTTCTCGGGCACCCGCCCGCGTTCGCAGCGCGGGTTTGCTGTGCCAGGCGCTGCCGGGAGGCTCCCAGCTGCACTTCCCACCCCAGGCGTTTGGGGAGAAGTGGCACTGGCTTTTGGGTGGTGGAGCCAGGACTTTTCCTTCCATTCCCTGGAGCCAGGACCGATACTTGCATCACGTTTCGGGTACAGAGTTTAGCCCTCCAGGCTATGCTGTTACAGCCTAAATGCTTCTCCTAAGAGCTTGTGGTTGTTGTAATCCTTGAGGTCTTTTCTTTCCCACTCCATCTGCTCCTTTGACGTGGGAAATCTGTTTGCTTTGTATCTCTCCCTTCTCTGTTTCTAACAGATTCTCCCATATTTCTCTCCTTCCTATTCCAAAGGGACATAGTGATGTCTTCAGGTTTTTTTAACCCTGGTTTTTATTGTGCTCTGTATTAGGATAGCCCTGGGAATCGTCCATAAATTTCCTTACCCTTGTTATAATTGGATAACTCTTCTATTAAAGTCTGTTTTCAAAGGACCATGGTATTTTGATTCAGAGGTTGCTCCATTTAGTGATGGGCACATAAACCTTTCCAAAACCATGTGTTACCCTAGAAATAGATTTCCTTTATTTCCCCAGACCTAGAGTAGAGCTAATAGCATTTCAAATGGGTTATGGCTTTAAAGAGCTTAATCAATTGCAGCGAAGTATTATTTCACCTAATCATTCTCCTTTTCCCTTTCTTCTGTTGACTGGACTTAAGAAAAAAGAGTTATCTTTTGTGTACATAGTTTGAAAGGCAATTCTGAATCTTTTTAAATGAGAGATGCTGTGTAAATGTAAGAAAATTACTGTTACAGACTAATGCCACATTTCATTTTTTAACCAAGTATTAAAATGAATTACAAATTTGCATTTCTTTATAGCTCACTGATTATACTTGCAGCTGTTTGTATTGCTGCGGGAGAAAAAGAAAAGACCTCACCCCCTGATATCCCACCTCTGTACCAATTAAAGCTGCTTTACAGCAGTGCGATTATGAAAACCATATGCGAGGTTAAAAGCTCTGAATGTTTGTTTTTGAAACACTTGCCATTTACATAAGACTTTTGCTGGATCCTCAGCTACATGTTAACTTGCTGAATCTTTATTTTGAAAGACAGTGTTCAAGAAATGAATTTGAAGTGTCGGACACTTCCCCCAAGTTCGCTAAACATTCGCATGACAAGATTGCTCTTTCGTTTATTGAACAAGAAAGGCCATTTTTTTTAGAACTCACCTCCTTGAACAAGTTGCTCTCTTTTTTTCACCCTTTCTCTGCCCCGCAGGATAGGCACAAGCGAGGCAGGAAGGCCACATCTCTGCCTTGTGCGAGTCATGCACCGCAAATGGGAACTCCACAGGCTCTGTGCTAGAACTGCCAGAGAGGCTGCACTCCAGAGAGCGCAGACAGGACTTTAGACTCCTCCTCTTTGATCTTATTCTTGAAAGCATTCCCAGAAATCTCTGACGATCAGAAAACAAGAACTTGTAGGTTTGGTGCTTAAGGCACTTGGGTAAATACCAGTAGGTTAAATTGCTTATTTAAATTTTTAGATCCCCTTAAAAATACCCTACATCAATGACACTTGCACCATTGTCCAGCTGACATGCAACAGAGAAAGATATGCTGCATGGCCTGGGGACTTATTTAAGTCCCAGGCTGAGCACTAGGTCTGAGCAATTCACATAAAAAGGTTTGGTTCATTCCAGTGTGAAGTGAGTACTCTTCTAACATGAAACATTTGCAAACTCAAATTTGCAAATTTGAGTTATGGATAGGGGAGTTATGGATTTGTGTTAAAATCTAGGTGCCTTCCTGTCGCTTGCCTTATTGCAGGGAAATTGTAGGGAATCAGTGCTTTTTTGTTTGCACAGAGAGTAAAAGTATTCAGAAGTATCATTTGCTTTTCCTTCCCATTTCCAATTGCATCATATCTCCAATTTCTTCATCTGCTTGTTTTGTGATTCTGTAAGTTTAAAAAAATAATCATTAGATATTGTCAGGCCTCTGAGCTCCTGCTTCTTAGCGCTTGTAATTGTGTTCACCAGTGCTGAGCCCATTTCTCTCAGTATTGACTCCATCCTTTTGTTAGAGATAGCAATGAGATAATACTGTGTACTTCAAGCAGGATTCTTAAATGTCTATTTGAACAGAGCTCCTCCAGAGTTTCTTCCAAGTCGTCTCCAGTCTTGTCCATTGCTCTTACCAAGTATTTTGGCAGCAATACAATAATTCTCTTGCTTGGTTTTCTAAAAAATTGGTCTTTCCAAACTCCCCACCTCTTTCTTGATCAAGCGACTAATACACTTTTCATGATGTAGAATCTGGTTTCATTTTCTTTTTTGCTTGGTTCAAATAACTTGTCATGGCTGCAGGTTACTGATATACTTAAGAGGGGGAGAAAATATATATTTTTGTGTCTTCTTGTCTTTTGTTGCTTTTAGTGGTAAATAAATTATTTCTAGTAACTGTGGTAAAAATACAATTAATATGTTGAGCACCAGATGGAGGCAGTTAAATCTTTTAAAAGATTACCATGCAGTTGTGCCTGAGTTACAATGTGACTTGTCAGCTAAGATCAAAAGCAAATTTGCCGTTTCTTTATCACCATGACTACTTTGAAAGACCTGCCAAAATCGACAAACTTGAGTTTACTGGCCTCTCTCTAGACTGTTGGCAACAAAATATATGACATATGGAAAGAGCTGCAAGGAGGTTAATCACACCACCTGAAAGCTTTTTCTGCACAAGGTTGGCCGTCTAGGAGAATCACTAGTTCTTTATCTCCTTGAAGCACTCTCTCTGAATGTAATTTAAAGGTGACACCGTTCCCATTCTTAGCTGTTTTTGAAATTACATCCCTGTGTGGCATCCCTTTCAATAGAACTTCAAATGTAGATGTCTTCCTTTTGGGGGAGGGAAGGAAGGGGGAAATGAATTGTGAGGAGGAAAAGCCAAGAAAGATGGGAAAAAGGGATGCTTTGTTTAGATAGCTCTAGTAATACAGTGTCTAGCTATTCTGTAGCATTTGTGTAGCAGTTTTATCTGCAGATCTAAATAATGTGAGAGTGGGGAATACAAGGCAGACAATAGTGTAATAACTTGTTCAAAATTATACAGTAGGTGAGTGGTAGAGCCAAATTATATATATAAAGAGAGAGAATTTATATATATAGTTAATACTTCATTAGTCATTGTTTTTGGGCAGCATGTAGGGTCCTCTATTTTACTCATCAGGGATGAGGAAAAAAGGTATATTCCACTCCTCCAGCCCACCTCCACCTTAACCTTGGATGCAGCGAAGGGCAGAGCTTGCCCCTAATTGTCCTTTACGGTTCATTTCACTTTCACAGTCTTACAAGACGTTTGGACTTTCAATTTAGTATCATGAATAAACACAAGAAAGGACAGAAGTAGCTTTCTTGCACTAACAACCTTGCCTTACGTAGCTCAAATTGATTTATTTGGGTCAGAAATCAAAGGCAGTTTCACTTCTGCAGCTGGCAGAGTAACTATTAAACTCAAAAACTTTCAGAGGCACCTTAAAAACCCTACCTCTGTCTGCATATTTTACCTATCACGGTTACAAATGACAGCTAAGATCATTGTAACTGGAATAATTAAGAATGTAATATCTTATTTCACCTGTGTTCATGCATTTGGCAGTTTTACATATTGTCACTTTCATAGTTTTGCATAATGACACCTTCGCAGTCACTTAGGCAGTGATTTTTCCTCTGTTCATATAGATTTTTCACACTACAAGGGAAAAATTTGGAGGGACTTCTAGATCTGTTATTTTCTGAACAGAAATTGGCTACAAGGAGCCAGAGTAGATGTACTGAAATTGTTTACTTCATTTTTAATTCAGTTTAATTGAATTTTTTTAATTTGGTTTAGTGCAATTGCATTTTATCACTGATAAACATGTGATTATTTCTTAAACAAGTATATTTTGTGTTTTCATTCTAAAATACGTTATATTATTTATGTATTGTAAGGATACAATATTTATGTTTTGTAAGGATACAATATTTGTTTATGGAAAAGATAACATGGATGATAAAGATAGTGTCAGGTAATAAAAGTAGAAACTCAAACAGTTCATATTTACAGAAAGAAATGGATTGCATAAAAATAAAATAACTAGTTTTACTGCAGGTCATTGTCAAGTAGCCCAAAGACATATTTTTTGTATTTATGTGGAAAAGTGTTTTAGCTTCTCATACGTATGAGATATTGCCCTGGAGATGCAAGAATCATGCTTGATGAAAGCAGCATTTGACTGAACTCACCAAAGGGCAGGGAAGGTGCTGAACATCCTCTGAGATGCAGTTCATGAGCTCAGGCATGACGCAGGCTTCTATTCAAAGGGCTCCGTGTTGCCCCTCATTATGGACAGGGGCAGCTCCTGTGATAGCAGCACTGAATGTATGTACTGCTTGCAATGACCAATTAACTTAATATGATAAGTACCTTCTATCCCTTTTGATATAAATTCTAATTAATAACTTCATTAATATATTTTGATTTTTGTGCATGAATTAACTTTGTGCTCTGTGCCACAGTATTCAAAAGCAGATAGGCATCCTGGGCCGATGCTGGACAAAGTGATGGAGTCTAGTTTTTCGGGTCCTCCGTCTTTCCCCGAGGCCTTGTCTCCTGAGAGAGGAACCCAGACCATCAAGCAACACAGGTGAGCAGATGGAACTGGGGAAAATGCAGCAGACGCGTTGGAAACATCATTGGTTTGGTGATGCATATACAAGATTATTAAGGATCGTGTTTGGGACATGGTCAGGACAGTATGGTACTAACATCAGCTGCTTCATTAAGCAGATGCCAAGCATGTTCTTAGCTGCAGAGATAAAAAGTTTTAACAATGCTTGTTGACTTTATCTACGTTTTAAAAAAGTCCTAGAGGAAGCATTAAAAAACATCACCAAAACTATAGACCCAAACCAGTGACTGAAACAACTGTAGTGTGAGAAGCCATTAAAAGCAAGATTCTGCTTAGTGACACGAGTGACTTCTGTCTCCTCACATTGACAGGGCTGCAGACTTCCAGCCTTTCTCACTGTTTATTTAAGCAGAAAGCACTAGAAAGGACTGATGACTTATTCATGAAATGTGGTAATCTTTGAAAACAGTCTTTTAGAAGTTTATATGTAAGATGTTCCCAAGAGCAAAAAAGAGGAAAATCACCTATCACAGGATGCCATTTGGATTAGGATTCTGTTCATACCTTTTCATATTAAGGTAACGGAAACCAAACTCCTATCTCATAAAAGTAATGTTGCTGTTGGAGTAATAATGAAAATATCTCGTTCAAAGCAGAGTGAGAGAGGAAAAAAGGCTGAGAAAAATCAAGTCAAAATTACAATTAGATAGTCTAGAGGGAAAGACTTAATAATTAGGATCAAGGACTGTCTTTTAAGCTTACTAAAAATATGGGATTGCATGATGCTCAGGTCCATATTCTGTAGCATTTGGTGTAATTTGCAAATGTAGGGCATTTCCATTGCAGTAGGACAGTCAGCTACATATTCTCTCTCTTCTGAATAAGTGATTTGCTTAACCTAACAAGGGTGTTGTATGACCTCTGAAGGGATATTTGCATCCTATTTGCATTTACGTTACTTAAGCCTTTAATTTGGCATGAAGAAAATAATGTCAACTGTTGTGTAAGATCTACTTCCTAGGGCTCTTATTCCACAAACTTCAATATATGCTTGCTGAACATAGATGAACTGTGGAACTGTTTCCTGGAATGCTTTCTGCTTGAGCTTTTGGAGGGATTTTTATCTCAATTCAGTCAAGGTGGGGGTAGGGGAGAAAAAAGCACAGTGACATTCGATTAACTTTAAAAAATTTAGATTGTTTTGATGACATACCAAGACATTTTCTAAGCTTAAAATGTAGAGAGAAATTGAAGACTGAAAATATTTCTTCTGTTTATAAAGGTCACTTAAAATAAAAGTTGAATAACTCTAGGCTTCATATATTCCATAGGGAAATTACTGAGAAAGCCATACTGAATTTACAGTGAACTAATGTAAAATTCCAAAGTGCTCATTTTAATGCCTTTGCTCTCCAAAGTCTCTATACCGGGGTGGGGGGGAACAGATGGCAAGCAATAGTCATTAGCAGATGGCAAGCAATGGACAGCATCAAGACTCTGCTTTAGAACAGTTTTGCTGTAGGATGTGGAATCACTGGCTTGATTTTTATAAAGAACCTCTTCTGTAGTTTTGTACCTTAGGATTTACTGTACCAAACCTTTGTTTATAAAACGATAGATTTCAACATGACAGTGCTTTATAAGGTTTTTATTTATGCATCATATGACAGCTTCCTAAGTTTCTTTGTGACTTTTTTTCCCTAGAGACTGTTCAAAATAAATTTGTGAGGCTTTGCCTGAATACTTCATGCGGTCTCTTTTTCTGATCTCCATCTATCTATAACTAGTTCTTGTTTATGTATGTTTCATATGATTAAATGAGGAAACTTTTAATTAGTCCTAAATGTTCCTCCTTTTCATTCATTTGAGGTCAGTTGCCCACTGCCCAGTGACAGATGTTAGCTGGAATTCTCAGGTATCCTTAAGAAGGCAACTTAAAGAAAAATAGAGGAAATGTGGTTAATATTATGTATAATGTCTTAAGAAGCTGACATAAGCCTGGAAAAAAACAGTGCATCTCTGCAGTTCCCTGTTTTTTACAACTGTTATGCCATGTTACTGGTTTATTTCTGCTCACCATTGGCATTTTATGTTCCACAGTTAGAACTGTTTTCCCTACTGATATTTTCAAGGATGCTAGTGGAGGGGTGATTATTTCTTAGAACCAGTAGCTCTCTGTTTCCAGTAAATAAAACCAATATAACTTACCAGGCAGTAAGATTGCCAAGGTGGGAAGTAATTTTGGGTTGCTTGTGATTGTTGCTTTTCTAGTGGTACATACAAAACAAATTTGACTGACAGAGATCACCTAGTCATTTCACGCACACTAGCAGATAACCATTTTCTCATCTTCATGCAAAGAGTACTATAGAGATGAAAAGACTTGCTCTTACCCTTAAAATATTTCACGTGAATTATGCATTTTTATTACTGTATAAGAATCTTGTATCATGTGCTTGTATATGTAAAACAGTTCTTAACTTCTGTCAGAGCTGGAAAGTAGCAAGTATATTTCCTGTAAAGTATAAAATATGCTCAAAAATGTACCTCAGACTGGCTGTTGGATTTTGTAAAAAGAAAAACACCCCCTCCCCCCCAGTGTTTTCTCTTCTAACAGATAGAAACAAATTATGATTTTGTTAATTATGGGAATTGATTTGTGATCCCTTTGAGTAGCAGGTAATTAGTCATACTGACTTTTATTTATTAATTCATCATGTATTTCAGAGGGATTCATTTCAGACAATACCATGATGAAAGCCAGAAGCAAAGGCTTTCGGCCTGTTATCTTAAAAAATGTTGGATAAACTTACTCTAAACTTGAAAATTTTCTATGGTTACATTTTCAATTAATTTCAACTCCATAAAATATAGTAAAATAAAATAATTGATTTCATTTTAATTAAATGAAAGGATAAGCAAAAGTAATTCTGCAAATAAGGTTATTGATTTTTAAAAGGACAAATATTGATAAGCTAAAACAACTAAAGATGTGAAAAAAGAGGAAGCCTAAATGTCATGAGAGTGAATTATCCCAATGAAAGGGCATGATCTTATGAAGAAGTTTACTAAAAAGAATACCTAAAAGCAATGGGGTGTAGGGGAACAAAAAAAAAAAAAATCACAGAGGACCATTTCCAGAAATCACTCTGATTTAAGGATCGCAAGTGGTTCTGAAAACAGTCAAGTATTCTTTAGCTAAATAAATAGGAAGGGTACTATATAGGAAGAAGCAAAACTGGTGATGTGACAGAGATAATATATGAAACAGGCAGGTAAGTTTGAATGAATATATCTTTTTCCAGTTAGGATGATGATTCAGGAACAAAGGTAGAATCAGTAATAGAATATGTGGAAATGGTCTATTACACTCAAGGTAAAAGTAAAATGCAGAGATTAATGTGCTTAGGTCAAGAGGGACTGGTTAGTGTCCATCACAGAGGTTTGGAAGGAACTGGCTCATGAACTCTTAAATCTGGAAGCAAAAATTCATCAAAAATAGGAGTTGGACCACTGCATTACAGAGCAAACGTACCTAAATTTCAGAAGAGGAAACAATGATAATACCTACAGCTGGTGACCTACTAAGTTGAATTAGATAGTACTCAAAGTTTTAGGATGGATATTGTGGGGAGGATGATCCTTTGCGTAAATAGAAAAAAAGGATAAAATGTATCCTGTTTACCAGCAGCAGTTCCTGCAACACTACATTGAAGGCTTTCTTTGGTAAGAGCGACATAGACCTGACCTATACAACCTTAGTCAATATTGGGTTCCTTGTGGTACATGTAGTTATGTGTTAAGTGGGAGAAAGTAGGGAGAGGCAGAACAACTATAGTGGATGTACAGAGGTGGTTAGAAGGGATATAGTAAGAAAATACATTGAGAAGATGAGTGCTAGGCTGAAGATGCTCACTAATGAAGTTCTCTGAGAGTTAGCCTTGAGACAACTCTTACTTTCATTCATGATTTTGGCACAAAAAAGCAGGAACGTGCTGAAGAAATTAGTTAAGATACAGTGTCAATACAGATTAGAATCTTGATATAATAAAGAATGAACTGAATAACAAGGTCATGCATTTAGGAACTAATAAAGTTTTCTGCTCTCAGCTGAGAAACAAACGAGGAAGAAAAGGCTCAGAATGTACTATTGGAACAAAGGAAACCAAATCTCAAGGTGATGTAAAAGATAAACAGGATAAGAAAAAGTATTAGTCAAGACATTTCCATTAGAAAGTCAAAAGCATTAAAACCAGGTCATAAGACTTTGGCATAACTTAATTTGAATATAACATGAGAAATAGACAAGTATCATCTGGTTAAAATGGCTCATGATTAAAATGGACTCAAATTGCCTTCATGAGATAATACAATAATGTGAGCAATGAATAGTTTGTGTTCCATAGAGAGGATTAGAGAGCCTGTCTTGTTGAGTGTAATAAAATGAAGACTGAAAAGACTCTGCTTATAAATACATCAGAGAGAAGCCTGAGGAGCAGTAAAAGACTTTTTTAAAATGAAGGAATATGGTGGCACAAGGACAAACAGATATGTCCTGACCATAAACAAATTTAAACTGGAAATCAAGAGAAGGCTGAAGCCTCAAAAAATTGTCTGGAATTATAGCCTTAGCCTTTCCAGGTTTAGGACTGGGAATTTAAGACTGATCAGTGCACTAAGGGGAGTATAAGATGGTTGAGCTCAGTGATATTGTAATACCTTTGACTGTTCTGTTTTCTTTTCCTGTTCCATATACCTAACCAGTGGAACTTGTATGATGTCTTTATTCAGATAATATATTTAGTCCTGAGGCACTTGCACAGAGCTGCAAAATCCCTGATCAGTCCCAGTATAGGCTATTTCTGTATATATAAATATGTAATGGAAGTAACAATACTACTGTTTCAGAAATTAAAATGTAAAATTAGAATTGTCGATGCATGCTGGGTGCCGGGAAGCTGCTCTGGCATTTACAAGTGGAGAAGAGAGTTGTGAAAACAGCTGGCTGCTATCCCAGTCCATCATATAGACTGAGAATTTGACCAGCTGTAGCACTTCATACACATGACCTATTAAACATATGTCATTGTGCTACAGTAAATCAGATGTTTTCCTCAAATAATCTTTGGTCTCAGTGTGTTTTTAATGGTTACAAAGACATAGCAAGTAGTAGTATTTAAATGTTTGAAATGTAGGACACTGCAAACAGACAAGAAGGAAGCCCTGGAAAGTCCTCAGTTCCCTAGTACTACAGATTTTTGGCATATAATCTGCATATAATCATAGTGTTATTTTAATCACATATAGTTTCACTGCAGTTCCAAGGATGTTGTCACAGTATTTATTGAGATGTACTTCTGTACAGAGATATTACAGATCCTTTATTATTAAATCTGGAAATTGGTTGTAAGTCTGAGTAGTTTATTTGTATATGTCATTGCTGTGAGTTGTCTACATAGCCTAAAAACGTCTCCTAGAGAACATCAGAAGACACTGGCTGGCAGCTTGCTCTGTCATTGAGGCATGTGTTTGTGGTCACTGACCTGTAGGGGCAAAGATCATAGCTTCGAGACTTAGACAACAAATGTGTAGATGTTGTTACTAGTAGAGAGTAAGGTATATAATGTAGTACAAGTCACTGTATAGTTTTTTACAGATATAGAGCCAGAATATTTCCAGTTGATTTTAGAACCTTTCTTCCTCAGCTTTGCATCCTTCTTTCTGAATTATACTTGTGTATCTTAGCTTGGCAGAGTGTTTAAAAAAAAAAAAAAAGTAAAAGGGCAAGCTTATGGATGAAGGAGGCTTGCACTAATAGAAAAATGCTTGCATTTAACACAAGATGTACAAAGCTTGAGCTAGTAAAAATGCCAGAAGAGAGAACTTGGTACTAGCCTACTGTTTGTAGCATCTTTCTCTTGAATACCTAGTTGATGGCACAGGACATATGTGGAGTGTGGAAAAACTGGGAAGTTGGGGTTACAAAGTGAATGAATGGCAACAAGGAAAAGATGAGGTAGAAAGACAAAGTGGCAGTGCTGCCATTAGAAAGGAAATTGTAACTGATCAAGCAGGAAAAAGTGGGGGATATGAAATACAGGTATACACACAACCATGGTTATAAGCACTGTTTCTTTAGCTCCATTACATTTATTCAACAGCAAAGAGAAGAAGAGTTGGGTTCTTGCAGTTTTGTAGAAAGGAGAATTATGATTGTCCAAGAATTTTATCACATATAAAGTCTATTTTTGATTATTTGTGTTTTCAATACACATAGTAGTCTCATTTCATCCTCCAAAGGTAAAATGCTATAGAAACTTACTGTGGTATATAGGATTCTATACATATATTTTTACAAGACAATGAATGAATCAATCCTAGGGCCACGTTTTTCTTCAATTTTTGTAAAGTATTTTGTGATCTATTCTGCCTGTTGTAGTTTTCTTCATATCTGAAATCAATTGCTTGCTGTAGAAGCAGGATGTTTGACATTTAAGTGCTTCCCAGATTAGTTGTGCTGCTTCTGACTCAGTGTACCACATAAATGTTAGCTGTTTAAAAATATATGCAATTGTATGCAAATGCTCAAATGATGTGTTACATGCTTAGTTGCCTGATGCAATAAATTACTCTTTGGTCCCATTGAAAGTGTTAACAAGTGGAACACAGTTCAAGTGTCAGGGCTTTTCATGTTTCTCTCAACAAAGGTAGTTCTGACTAAATTCATCCATAATGAGATGTGTAATCAGTTCTGTTTGGTAGCAAGCTGAAAAAAAAAGGGGGGTTGCAGGATGATTCCCAGTTACTCTAATTGTGATGCATCTTTTCCTATTCATGGACACATTCAGCTGTACTTGGAGTTGTGCTTGTGCCTTGAGAAGAGAATATGCTTTGTTTTCACTTAGTTACTCAACCTAAAGTACATGTTCACCAAAATTGTTTGCAAGGATGAACTAGAATTTCTTCATTGGTGCAGAGGTAGTTGAAATAGTATTTTCGAGCTATTTTTCAGTTATTCCTCAGAACTACATTTCTCCATAGTTTATGAATTGCTTGTGAAGCGGTTCAAAAATATTCAATTTTTGTTATTCATGTCTATATTGATTAAAAGATTTTAAAAATGTATCTATAGCTTTCCTTAGTGGGCTTAGTGAGCACCTCAGTTACTGAGCTTGCTTCTTTTACCCAGTGAGACTGGAGTACATGGCTAAGAAATTGTAATGAAAGCTGGAAGGATAAATTGCCTGAAATCTGAAAGGCGTTGCTTGCCTCATAGGGAGGAATGCTTCAAGAGTGAAACGGAGTAGGTGCGCCTGAGGGGGCCTGTGTTAGTTAACACTTCTGGAGGAAGAATATGCAGATATTCATAGCATGCATTGACAGTTTTGTGTAAATGGAAAAAATTATTCTGGTGGAGACCCTTTTAAAAATTTAAGCAAATTCTTACTATCCTTGTTTTTGGTGCTTCGAGAAAGGAACTTGCTGTAAAAATCTTCCAGAAAAATCCTTTTTAGTAAATATGTCTTTTCCATGCCCACCTATGTTTTTTTTGTTCATTTTTTACCTGCTTTTTTCTGTTAGAAATATTGGAAGCATAAGCACACCACATTAGAAACAGTTCAGACATTCAAGCTCTGCCAGTGCTGGAGCTAGCGTGATTGCAGCATAATGTTAACACACGGCTGCTCACTTGTGTCTAGCCAGCTCCTGCATCATTAGCAGTAAAAATGTAGCAATGTGAATTTGAGTGCAAGGTGAGGAAGCGCAGCTGGGGAGTTTGTATGAGTCCTTGCTGCTGTGTTTAGCAATTAGCTCAAGTTACCTGCATGCATTCAATGAACCCTGTTGCAAGTGCAGAACTTAGTGCCTGTGCATGTTTTTAGATGGAAGACTCTGTGCACTCACTCAGCAGAGAAGAAACACAAGAGCATCAAACCATCCGCAATTAAACAATACCTTTCTAGTCACAAATAATTTTAGTCATTGCAAGGTGTTATGAGTGTAATCAGTGTGTTGATTTTTCTAATGTGCTGACAGATACACTGCAACCAATAAAAAAGGTAAAATCCATTATTCATCAGGAATTTATTAATTCAACTGCATCTTTTAATACTCTATGCTGTAATAACCCAGAGAATATCCTGAACAGAGATTGCTGAGTATTTTATGATGTAGTAGAAATGTTATTATAGAGAATATGGATTGTAACTCACAATTTGAACTCATCTTCAAGATTAAATGGCTAATACTCGAGTTCAACATTAAAAAAAAAAAAAAAGCAAGTGGGAAAGTAAAGGATGGGACATTTGTCATTTAAGTGGTAGGATTGAGCCTATTGCATTTCTTATGTTTTGACTTTTGGGAGAGAAGGAGGGGTTTCATGAAAATGGCATGCTCCAGGGAGTTTGTCCAAGATACTTAGTCTGACAGTAAGTGTGGACCTAACTATAAGTAAAGTTCCCGCTAGATATAAAATGCAGATTGCCTTTAGGACAGGTTATGGGAAAAGAGAAACAAACTTATCAAAAACGTTTTGTGCAAGTGAATTGTATCAAAAATTGAAATTATTCACATAACCAAGGGTAGTTATTCTTAAAATGCACCGCAAAACCTATATAAAAACATCATTAATGATGTGAGAGAATATTAAATAATATACATGTATTTCAAAGCTCTGGGAGATGTCAGGAGAAATAGGAGTATCTGGAAAGGGAACAGCTAGTCATGCTGTACAGTACTGTGACCTGTTAAAACTAGAAATATGTTACGTCTTACCGTTATTATGTATTCCCTTATTCCTGCTTTAGCAAGCATTGAATGTGTCATTATTATAATAAAACTACGGGAATTTCGGAAACAATTTAATTTTTGCCCAAAGTGGGAAAATCTATTATTCTGCAAAAAAATGCTATGTTAGTTTTTTTTAAAAATGCTGTTTTCTAGAATAAGTCAAAAAAAATACCTAAACTTGATTTTATCATGTTAAAGTTTGTATTGAATCACATAAAGAAACAACATAGTATTTAGCTGTGCATATCAAAGGAGAATTTCTTTTTTTTCTGTGAAAATCTTGAAATCTTGTCCAATGTGGAGAACATTTTTGTTGGCTTCTTCAAGCTAGGAGTTCATCAGCTTCACTAAAATATTTTCTCTCAGTTTAATGTCATCAGATCAACAAACAGAACTGTCTAGGCTGCTAGGTTATATAATGGGCTCTAAATTCAAGATATGCTTGTGAGCTCAGCTAGACATGATGGACCTATGCTATTTATGGACCTCTGAGGAGTCAACACTGCATACTAAGAATTATGTATGTAGTGTAGGAAAAAAGAAGCATTCCTCATTAAATATAAGAAAACATTTAATTTACCCGTCACTTCTTTTTAATCCTGGAAGGAAGCTGATCTATTAAATATGGAGTAAACAACAGCCAACTGTGAATTGTAGCATTATATTTCCATAGAGAATTTCTACTAACATCGTGGACTGAATACCAAAGTTTACAAAAACAACAATCCATGTATTATTAATTCGGAAGCTATTTTGCAGAAGTTATGAGCTTGCTTTGATAACTTTTCCTGTACTTCTGCCCTTTTCCCTAGAAGCCTGTCTTCATGCTGCAGCCCAGGACAAAAAGGTGGGATTCTACATAAAAATGCCTTTCGGAGGACTCCTCCCTTACCTCGGGGTAGGTTCAATGGAATCACAGGACCAGCATATCAGCAGCTAGAAGAGTCAAGGATGACAGATCAGGACACAGTACCCTGTCAACGGTAAGTAAGGAAATAACCAATGTGAACCAATTTGTTACTGGCCGCAAAATAAAAGGTGCGTTAGTTACTGTGCTTTGCCATTAGAGTACTTGCAGCACTTTTAGTGAACTGTGGATTCAGGGGTTATAGTACTGAGAGCAGAAGATTGTTTTCAGCATTTTGGCTCTTTGAAGATAATATGTTTTTATTTGGCTGGCCACTCTTTTTAGCCTTTCTAAATCTGTAAAAGGAGTGATCAGACAAACTGGAAGTGATTTGTTACATGTTACTTTTTGTAAATGATCCTTTCTTCAGCAATGCTGTGATTTACAGTTCTTGTGCCCTCCACATTACATTGTTTCTGCCATCAGCACTGTAAATGAAAATTATTCAGGAAATCAACTTTCATGTTCTTAAAATGCATATTGCAAGGTGTGTTTGCTAGAGACTGAAGACTGACCCCTTCACAGTGCACGAAGGATCAGACATTTTTCCTTTTTCTTTCAGCTTTGTAGAATATTGATTGCATGTAGGTTCCAGCTAAACATAAGGTTTGAATTTCAGTGTTTCTGAGCATCTACAGCTGCCTTTGAAGTCCTTTGCAATTGCTGAGCTATTTTGCATAATATTTACATATCCCCATTGATTTCCAAAGACTTTCCAGAATCTATATGTATTCTGTGTAAAACTAGAAGTAACTGGGATGGGATACAATGTGCAAGTCTAAGACTATGTGCAAGACTAAGTGCAGTGAAGTAAATGAAATTATACTGCAGGAAGACAGCTGTACTTTAAAGAACTACTGGAATTGGCTTTATGGACTGTAAGACTGGAGACAACTGTGTGTGTAATTTTTTTTGAGGGGGTGGCGGCCAGGAAAAACATAGCCATTATCATTATGACTATCCACTCAGTGGCATCAGTGCTGCCTAAGAGAAAGTGTCTGCATACGTTTGTCTTTGCAGAAGTTCCCCTATGCAAACATACAATGCACACAAGCACCCCAACCACAAACCCCTGCCTGCCTTGACTTTCAACCTTCTGTGGGTGCATTTTAAGAATAATTATCCTTCTTACTATTTGTTTCCTTGTAAGAGAAACCTGTTTATTACTTCTTCCAAGAATTTTATTGTCTTTTGTATAACAATGTAGGCTTAATTCTCTAAGGAAGCTGTGAATTGGAATGCAAACCTTACTTTAACAAGCAGGCGACCACAGTTTTCCTCGTTAAATGTCAGTTTTGGGAAGCAGGCTGCTGACGAAGGCTGCAGCATCCTTCTAGGTGCAGAAGTGAGTCTAAATATTGTATATATTTAGGTATATATTTTGTTTTATATATAAATACAGCAAAGCTATATATATTTTTTGATCCAGATCAAAGCTGTCCGGACAGTTGTGTTTACTCTTGAATAGGAACTAAGTTTTGGTATTACACGTACATGTCAAATTGATCTGTGTTATATTTGCACTTCTACAAAATGTTGAACTTTTAACTACTGTTCTGGCCTTAATCTACTCAAGCACCTTATTTTTATTTTGTGCATGTCTCTGTAGACTCACAAAAGTTGTCTCTCAGAAATAGTTGTCTGAATGTATCTAAAGGTACTGTTGTGACAAGAAATCACAGTAGTGTATATATAATCACAACTGTGACACTAAATTCTTAAAATAGTGCCCATAAAAATGAATTACAAGAATGTAAGTAGTAGAAATGAAAATAAAAGCTATCCTTTGATCTGATGGATTTTATGAAAATGAAATCCTTAAAGAACGTAACAGCACTTTTTGCAAGTTATTTTGTGTTGCAGTAATGAGGTAATTTATTTAACAAAAACAACACATCTTTGACTAGAAATATAAACAATTTTAATTGCATTTAATGTGGAACACTATATTTAAAACTAGGAAGAGGATTTCTGTTTTATACTATCTAAATACGTGCCAGAGTTTCATAGTGTTGGTGTTCTCATTAGATTCAATTCAACTGAAAAGTTCCTTGTCTCCTGCAGAAGGTACAGATCTTTCTGTCCCTTTTTCCTTGATCTTTTCCCAATAGGGATGCAAAAATCTAAGTGGTTTGTCTCCATAATTTCTTCAACCTGCTAAAGTTAATCCATTAGCAGCAGCATCCGAAGTTGAGTCAGATTTTGTATGCTTATATTTAATTAAAAAGAGGCTAGTTTACCTGGTTAGTTTTTCTCCAGGTACAAAAATGTGTTCTATCTGCCCATCCTGTGTTGAGGTGAAAGCTTTTCCTGCTTCCAAGAAATAAAAAGTCTTGTATTAGCAGCAGTATCTGATATTTGCAGCTTGAGTCAGATACAATTAATATCAGTTTTAATCAATACCTACTCAAAGTAGGAGAACAACCTGCTTAAAATGAGGTTCTTAAAGAAAACAAACCATCTCCATGCCACTCTCATCCCCTCAGTCTGATAAGAGTCTCTGAGGGTGTCAAGAATTTACATGCAGCTAAGTGGACAGCATTTTATTGTGTGTTTTCAACTGCTGTTTGCATTACATTATATTAACTATTAATATGAAAATGCAGATATATAGATATAAATGTGTTTATGTATGTAAGACCTTTGTCACATATACAACTTGCAAACGGTGTGTGTATGTAGGTATATGTGCTTATAAGACTGAACTAAAGCCTATTAATGTCCATGAAATGACTCCCAAATAGTCTTTGCATGACCCTCGCACACTAGACAGCTACAAGCATTGGGGTTAACAGCAAAGTTATTTGTACCACATTAAATTCAACCCAGTTTGTATTTTAAGTCCCACGCAATTCTTTAAGTCTCTCTTTAATACTTGTTTTAGGAAGGCAGTATAATTAGTACTCTTGATTCAGTTTCAGTCTTTAATTTAGAGTCCTGAACATTGTGTGGATGAAACAGATAATTACTACTGCATATTTATAAATGTTTAAGTTTCTTTTTGGCCTGGTTTTAGGAAAAGGGTGGAGAGAGAATTGCACTTTGAAACACATGCATGAATGAGTTTATTCAAACAAAAAGCAACATTTTAGATGAAAAAATATAGATACCCATCTTCAAGAAAAAAAATACATTTTTGGGAATGTTAGTTTAATTATAGGAGAAGGTAATCACCACTCTGGACTTGCAGATCTAAGCCTGACAAACAGAAACTGTCTGGTGTCACAAGTCGAAGCATGGATCAGTTTGTAACTAACAGAAAGCTGGGTCACACATGGGCTAGATATAAATACATTAATATAAATATATTTAAAGTCCCAATTACTAAAAAAGAGAACAGTGCATTTTCTGAGATCCTTGCAGTCATAGTGGTTTGAAAAATTATGGAATAAGCAAATGCAAAAGGAAGCAAGACTGGGCACAAATCAGAGGAATCTACAATGCTGTGTTTTCATTTATTTTTTAAATTGTCCTCCCTTTGCAATAGTTTCCCTGATCAGTATTTCATATCAATCTTTATAAAGTTGTTCTTAAAAGGCCTGCTATAAACAGGCTACAAGGGTGTGCAAGCACAATGTACGTGTATCTGCAGCAGTTTAACATGCACAAGAACCATGCATCCCAAAGAGGTGCTTGATCAATTCTGTACCCTAATATTGGACTGTGACTGTTTTATGCACTTCACTTTTCATTAGTTTTCCTTCTGCTAACCAAAAGAAATAAGGCATGTAAAAATACAGGAATATTCCTAACAAAATCTAATGGATTCAAATGTCTTGCAGGAAATATAAATAAATAAAATCAGAACTCAGATACCTGTTTCTATACTAGATATATCTAGATGTTGCTTTCCTTTCCCGTGAGTAAAGCATATGAGACTTCACCATTGCCTTGCTTTGTTAAATAAGTGATGTGATTGCAAAGTTAATGAGAAAGAAAATATGTTCCAGGACTGAGATGTTGTTTATGGTCCTTTGTAGTCATGACTAGTAGAAGTACTAACTTTCAGAGCACCAAATTTCTAGTAATACTATTTTTCAAATGGGAAATCTGCTTTTTTTTATTGCCAGGTTTCCTTTACTGTATGCTTGCTGTACTTTCCATGTCTGTTTTTAAAATATTTCCTCTAAATGAAAACATTTCTTCATAAGAATAACTACTTTGACTTTGAAACAAAATGAAAATATTGATGAAATTTCCTAAAAGAAGCTTCAGAGTAAATAAAAATCAGACTATGATATGTGTTAGTGGAGGACAAAGGATTTTCCTTGAAAAGCAGCAAAACAGACACTTTCCAGAGTCTAATGCATTAGCTCTATCTCCAGACAAGATCTAAAAAAAAAGAAATCATGCCAACATCAGCAGTATAGCTGAGTGAAAATATTGCATAATTTCTTGAGGTACAATGCCGTTAAAGTCCACTTGTCTGACTGACTGTACAGCCATTTCCATGTTCCCACAACAATATTTTGTTTGACGTTTATTTTTTCTGCATCTTCCAAAGTACTTTACTAATTAGCTATTTGACCCTAAAAGTTCTGCTGTTAAAGTTCTGCTAAAAAAGTTCTTTTGTCCATTTCCACAGTTCGGAATGTAGGAGCAGCATTTTAAATTTAACTTGAAGTAATTAGTCATTGTAATGAATTAGTCACAGATAGCATAACTCTCAGAAGTTTTAAAAAGGAATTGCTATTATTCTCATATACTGATGGGGAAAATGAGATGGAGAGAAAAGCAGTGCTTTGTCTTATGTGGATCTGGGAATAAAAGACATGGTTCCAGAGTCCAGTGTTGTTCCCAGGGCCACAATATTACTAAGTGCTCCTAGTGTACCAAAAAAGGTATGTTTGCTGAATCTCCTACAACATTTCTACTGCTGGCTGCATCTCCCTTCTTGATATACAACATTTTTTTTTATTATTATTCTTTTCAGGTATTCATCCAGTGTTTTAAAAACTCCTCAGAATACTTCAATAAATATGCAACTGCCTTCAAGAGAGACAACCCCTTATTTTAATAATGTGGATCAGAAGGACTTGGTTGGATATTCATCTTCAAGGGCCAACTCCGTTCCCATCATCCCGTCTGTGGGCTTGGATGAAGCCTGCATGCAAATGCAAAACGTTCCTGAAGTAACAGGCATCAAATGGTGCAAAAACTCCTATTCTGCTGAACTTGTCAATGTGAGTTCCCCAGTCAGTAATTGTCTTATAGCAGAACAACATGAAGTGAAAATATTGCTAGAAACTGTCCAGGAGCAGATCCGAATTCTGACTGATGCAAGGAGGTCAGAGGACTACGAACTGACGAGCCTAGAACCAGAGAACAGTGCGAGTGAAAACACAGCATTTCTGCCCATGAGCCCCGTGGCCAAATCAGAACGAGAGGCACAATTTGTCTTAAAAAGTGAAACACAAAGAGACTCAGTATTGACCAAGTGACTTTGTGTGGGGGTTGTGGGAGGGGAAATAAGAGATTGGTGCATTTGATGCTTTGCTAAACAGGAAAGGAGGAAATTAAATACAAATTATTTATATGCATTAATTTAAGAGCATCTACTTAGAAGAAACCAAATAGTCAATTGCCCTCATATCATAGTGTTTTTTAACAAAATATTTTTTTAAGGGAAAGAAAAGTTCAGGAGAGATGAAGCTTACATCAAATGCTTTCTAGGCAGGATTATACATACAGTTTCAGTTACAGAGCATTTTAACACTGTCCTGTTTGGCTGTTAGAAGGTTTAGGTTATGTGTATTTTTTTCAGTAAAGTCCAAGACTATCCTTAGATTCATGACTGGTTTCAGGGTAGTGCTGCAGTCAGCTGCTGACCAAGGAGTTGTGCCCTGACCAGGGGAACTTCATCCTGGCACGAGTCTGGGCCACTCTTCACTTCTTGGCTCCAGGTTCATAGCATGAAAACAGACCAACAAAGACCAATTCCTTGTCCAGCTTCTGTGGTTTGGCACCAATTGTGGAATGACAGTAAATCCCTAGTTGAACCAGATGCTTAACCTTACTTTACTGCATAAGCCCAAGAAAGTTGTAAGAGGAGGTTTGAGTTGGGGAAGAGTCCTGTGGGGCTGAGGCCTGCCACAAGGCAGGGATCAGGAGATGCAGCCACTCTGCCCTGCTCTGAGCTTTACTTGTCCAAGCGGGGTCCATGGAGAAAGCAAGAGGAACAAACTGAAAATGCAAGAGTGTGTTTCATGGCAGGTTTGGTTTTGTTTGTTTTTAACAGTGGGAATGTAAACTCCATTGTTTGTTACAGAACCCTCCACGTTACTGACTTGTTATACTTTGAAGGCATTTGTAGGCACCCAGGAGCACTTCTGAGTGTGTGTGTGTGTGTGTGTGTATTTTTTTAAACTTATTTTTATTATGGGTTGTTCAGAGATGAATCAGGGAGATACAATATGATCAAAATCCAGCAGAAATGTGTTCATGTTGCCCTAATTTGTTCCCACTTTCAGTTCTCCAGTCACTTTAATTAATCATGGCTTAGGCTTGTGAACTTTAAAGCTTCAACCCTGCAGATGGTTCAGTCTGGGCAGACCTGCAGACCAGTACATATCTAACTCTAATAAGCTGTACAAGAGCAGATGGTTTCCATCAAATCAGTCCCTGCAGGAGATGAAGGCCTTAGAGAAGAAATGTCATTTCCTGGTTGCAGTATCCCAAGCACATTATCAATATATATTTGCATTTTTTTTCTTTTGAGACCCTCTTCGTCCTCATATGACTGTAACATA